CTTCTTTTTTTTTTTTTTTTTTTTTTTTTTACATATCCATGGCAACGAAATTATCCATGTCTAATGCAAAATCATAAAACTAGTGTGAACTCTTTTGTTGACGGTCAAGAATGGATAGACACAAAAAATGGGATTATCATAAAGCTACAAAAATTGGAACATGCCAACTGAACTGTGATCTGCCAGCACTACCACAAGAAGAGTGCACTTCAAATAGGCACAGGGAAACAATGGGGGGAAGGGGGATTTAGAAAGTATTAACCACAATCCAACTAGAATTTTTCATAATGACAACTTGATTTCACATATATGTTCAGCAGAAATGTGGAGACATATTCTTTGATCACACAAGCACATTCTTCCTCATCCTCTCATAATGCACCATGTCTTATCTCTATAGTTCTGAGAGAATTTTTTTAAGTTGAAGACAGGAACAGATAATGATGTAGCACTAACCTCATATGGATAGTCCATCTTACGCAAAATATTGTACGCTTTCCATGGAGGCTCCATTATCTGAGGAAATGAAAAGATAAAATAGAGTTGAATGCCCAATACGTTAATAAAATACCAGCATGAGACCTATCAGCTATGCTGTTTTGTGATGTATACACAGTTCAATCCATAATAAACTTCTTTTACTGATTATAGGAACAAACAATTTGTGAACGTTAAGATCTCAACAGAAACTCCAAGTAAATAAAATCACAACTTACATCATCTGCAGATATCCTAATAGGCAACTTTCCTTTGCATTCTGGGCATTTCATCACGCCCTGCAAGCAAGCAACTACTTTATACAATATCAAGTTTAAAGTCTTCTAAATCTTCAGAAGTTAAGGTGAGAAGTGAATAGGGTATAGACTATTTTCAATATCAAGAGTAGCACTTGGAAGGCCTTTTCATTAAAGCTTCAAAACAGAGTAACCAACAAAATACAGGAGCCTAAACTACACTAGAAGGACCTCTTGCATAAAAATTAAGTGTAATAGAATTAAGTTGCCAATAACCTCATACAGGGGTAACAAGAAACTAATGCGGAATTTATGGAAGTGGAAATGCAACATATTTCTCACCGATCCATCACAAGTTGGGCACTCTTTAGATGGCAATGGCAAATGCAGATCCAGTGTGGAAGGAAGATGCACCAACTCAGCTCGGTTATCAGCAATGGCATCAGCAATACTTTCAGCTGTTGCTTTCTCCCCGCTATAGCAGGATCAATTACAAATTCAGAATGAAGTAGAAGTTAGAAACTGTAAGGCAACACCGATGCAGGGGAAGAACAAGATTCTAAAGAATGAGTCACAACATTGTCATATGCTCTCTATTATTTTAAGTCCCATGAAGCAAAACTGTAACAACACCAATAGAACATTATTAAGGGCGTGTTCGGTAGAGATTAAAATTGAAAAACTAGTCATTATTGTTTTTTTTTTTATAAGTAATCAGATAATTTTATTAATCAAAAGATACTACATGGGGAATGTATTATCAATTTAGACAATACAGATGCGACATGAAATTAGGCAACCCTTCTATATGATTAGGAGTCGCAGTATTAAACCAACTATACAAAGTTAGATAAAACAATTCTCTAATCTACTCTGTTGTTCTTGTTTGATCTTCAAAACAACGGCTATTCCGTTTTCTCCACACGCACTATACAAGGCATCCCGGAATAAGATCTCATACAATCCTACTATCTTTATCGCGAAATTTCATCGTCCATGCCCTCAACGCGCCTTCAAATCGCCTAGGCATGACCCAATCCAACTATTGGAAAGCTAGAATACTGTTCCAAAGCCACCGAACAACATCGCAATGAATGAACAAGTGAGCAATCATCTCCCTATCCTTCTTACACATATAGCACCACTCGGTAACACAAAAGCCCTTTCTTCGAAGATTATCCACCGTTAATACTTGCCCCCTCACAACCGTCCACAATAAAAAAAGCCACCCGTAGAGGCAATTTACATTGCCACACCATACAACCCTTCTATATGATTAGGAGTCACAGTATTAAACCAACTATACAAAGTTAGATAAAACAATTCTCTAATCTACTCTGTTGTTCTTGTTTGATCTTCAAAACAGCGGCTATTCCGTTTTCTCCACACCACCATACAAGGCATCCCGGAATAAGATCTCATACAATCCCACTATCTTTATCGCGAAATTTCATCGTCCATGCCATCAACGCGCCTTCAAATCGCCTAGGCATGACCCAATCCAACTGTTGGAAAGCTAGAATACTGTTCCAAAGCCACCGAACACCATCGCAATGAATGAACAAGTGATCAATCATCTCCCTATCCTTCTTACACATATAGCACCACTCGGTAACACAAAAGACCTTTCTTCGAAGATTATCCACCGTTAATACTTGCCCCCTCACAACCGTCCACAATAAAAAAAGCCACCCATGGAGGCAATTTACATTGACACACCTTCTTCCATGGGAATGAACTCTACGCAAGTTCTAAGAAGGATCTAAAATAAGAGCGAACTGAGAATATACCATTCCGTGCCAACCTCCACCTGCTACGATCACCCTCTCCAACTTGAATGTGCGCCTCATGCAAAGCGGTCAAAAACAACGCATAATCATCTAATTCTCAATCCTGTAGTCCCCTTTCAAATACAGTATTCCAACTGTGACTTTCATTGTGAATGGTGAGTACATCATTCACCATAGTAGACGTGGGACCCAATAACGGCTATATTTTCAATTTTAATTTGATTTTAATCTTTACCAAACAAACACTAAGATATGTTGTAGCCGGTAGAAAAGTGGCTTTGATGAAAAGAAAAAAATAGCAATAATTACTATACAAATCATGGAGACAGCCACTACGAACACGCTGGGAAATTGAGTCGCCACATTTTACAATTCTAGAAAGATAATGAACCGCTGTGTTTTATTTTGCTACAGTTCAAATGGATAAACCCAAGGTATTGCCTTGATAGAGACCAGACTGTATTAAAATTGAAATACTCAAGTAAATATAGGTATGCTCTTAAAAATATAACGAGAGAAGGAGAGAAGAGGATTAGTTAATGCACGCCATGAACTTAATAAATGCATTCTGAAAACTTTAAACTTCTCTCCAGCTAAATCCTAGCCAATCAGGTATCTGAGTACTATAATAAGAGGGAAAGAATCTCGTAATTTATAGTTTAGCTCTCACATTTACAAATTAATTAATGTTAGTCTACCTTCTCAAATTATAATTTTTCACTTGGTACTGCACCTTTCCTGAGCCTTTGCACATTGTACACTGCATCGCCTGCCAACCACTGCAGGTCTGACAATTCCTGCAAGATCAAGCATCCATTTTCAATCAACCTATAAAGATGAATTGAAACACGACGGATTGACGATAGATGATGAAATGTAGAGCTGATACTATACTCATTTGTGTTCTCTGACGTAACCTCTGACTTTTACATGATTGGGATAAATAAAAGCACTTTAGTCCAAATAACAGAAACGCCAAGATAGGTTTGACCCTGTAGACTAGAAAGGCAAAGAGCCTTTCTTAAAGAAAGTTCAAAATAAAGTGCATACACTTTTTAAAACAAGATCTGGTGAAACTGTAGGGAAGTAGACCATTAATTATTTTAACTCAATAATAAATAAAGATGTTTTGGCATTTCACTTATTACATCAAGTGGGTATCAAAAGCACTGAATGGGGGCATGGGCTGATCTAATTGGCTTTTCCTTCAGCCTTTCGGAAGTAGGAAGACCTGAGGACTTCAGTGTTTAGTTATTTTGGATGCTTAGAGATTTAGAGGACACAGAAATGGCCTTTTCTGTTTTTAATTGAAAAAAATTGGATGGCAAAAAACTGATGACGTGAAGAAAAAGGAGGGAGAATTCTAGGCATCATGTCTAGATTCGAGTAGGCATTTCACATGGGGTTTTAATTGAATTACCTACCAAAATAGTACAGATGACCCAATACAAAAGAAAAACATGAATTGACCCTTAGTAAGAAAACTATTCTAGATATTCTGGAATATAACAGATTTTTGAAAGATTAATACAACCTCCTAAACCCAAGAAAAAATTAGAAAAATCGTATTTTCATCTAAATTGAAAACTCTAATTTATATTCTATTAAGAACTACGTTGGGCTGTAAAATAACTTCAAAGAGCCTTCCCACGTGGTAGTTCTTCCTTTAAAGTTCTCTTTCCTAGAACTTCTATTACCTGAATGACTTTCAGTTAGCATACATTGTTATTTTACTTTCATGCAAGTGTATAGACAATTCTAATGCAAAAGAAAAAGGGAAACATCTTCAAAAGTTGTGAATTAATTGCTCAAGAGTCAAAAGTTTATTACATTCACCATGCCAGTGCACTGAATGTTTTTGCTTGAAATGACACATTGTAGACAACTAGGTGATATTAAAGCTGGTAAGTTTCATCATCAATAGATGTGTGATGATAAGATCCAACATTTGAAACCACTAACAATTGTGGGGTAGACTAAAAATCACCTTTGACACAGCACCTTCTTACCAAGCTCGAATGCGATATCATAAGTCCCAAGTGTAGCAATGGCCTGAAATCAACCCATGGATGAATCAATCCAAAAATTAAAGAATAACAGCTTGCCATATAATCTTTGTCTGAACAAAATGCTAAACCCAAATTCAACATAGAGAAAAGAGACGTATGTGTTCTTCTTTATTGCAGCTCTCTCTAAGAAATTTATCTAAACCATTTTGCCACTAAACGGTATGACATGAAGACGTATTTGTGCCCTCCCCAGAGGTTTAACACAAGAGAATGTGATTGCCTTATCTGGGTATGATGCAGAAAAGGCTACCAAAAAGGAAAGGAAATTAAATTCATAAATATTTCCTGCATTGCCAAAAGCAATGTTAAGAATATGAAATTGCATTATAATTAATCAGGATTGGCCATCACATTTAATTTGTGTAACCAGAAAAATATTTTGTCTGCATCTAAGCAATGGTGTGGAATGAAATCACTAAATTGTTGGCTTCCAGCATGACAGCCTTGAACAAACAACCAAGATGCACAATATCCCACCAAATTAGAACCATTGGGGCACCTCGTAAACCCTTTAAGCAAACCAACATAAAAGGCCAATTAAAAAAAAACATAAATGCAGGAGAAAACCCCATCTCAAAACCCTGCACAAAATGGTAGTTCTGTATGCCTCTTTAGTTGAACCTTACAACTCCAGCTTCACAAATTTGGTTTAACTCTCCAATTAGCAAAATAAACAATTAAAACTCCATTAAACATCAGTCATCCACAAGTCAATTCCTCGAATTTTCTTCTTTTTTTTTTTTCCAAAAAAGTTCAAATATTGTGAGCAGAAGAAAGATAAATCATATGAAAACTAGGGCTGTCCGTGGGTCGGTTCGGTTCGATTTTGAAGAGACCCGAACCGACCCAAAACTTTCGGGTATTTCATAAATGGAACCGTTCGGGTTCGGTTCGGTTCTGTTCGGTTCCGTACCATAATCAAATTTTTTAATATTTACAGCAACGCTACATAAATACAACTAATGACATTTCATTCGTAACTTTTACAAATTAACGTAGTCCAATTCAAAAACATATAAATAATTAGTCGTTCAATAAGATTAATTTAATACATACA